AGCGACATGCGGTAACGCTTTGAAGTTTTAATCTGTTTACGTAGAGGAATAGTATGTTTTAACATAGGATTAGTATGTTCTCCATGACCACACATCTCAGTAATTAATTATGATTTGGTAATCATGCCAATCATAGTAGCATGTTCAATCAGTGTCAATCTTAATTAATTAAATGAGCATTATTAAAAAGCGAGAAGTTACTTGCAAAATGGCAAACGCTCAAGTTGACATCAAATTCATACCATCCCATCTTGGAGGTAGGATTCTTTGTTTTCATGGATTTATGTTCCGTTGCAATAAGGAGAGAGACACGTGGCAGTCTTGGCTGTGTCTTGAAAAGACATGTCCTGCACGAGTTTCGATTGAAGGTCCTTGGTTACTCCACTGGAGACAACTGGCGACATCTTTCGAACCACTTCGGCAACGACGGTCCAAGAACTAACAACTAGAGCACGACTGATGGATGGTGCCGTATCCAGAATGGAGTATGCCGACCATCGCTTCACTTGGAGTAATGTAAAATGATACATTGTTGTGACATTGTTGATGGTGTGTTTTGTGAATAAAAAAACACTTTTTATTATCTTATTTTGTTATTAAAAGAAGAAATATATCTTATTAATGTGTCATATTTCGTGGTGATGTGAAACATGATATGGATTACTGTGTTGTTTTAAACCCTTAATGTGTTTTCATAAGGATTAGACATGGGAGCTTAAACGCATTGTGCACTAAATCCGACCTAAATTGGTTCGTTAGCAAATCTAACGCGAGAGCGACACACAAGTTGAGTCAAATTGAGCTATTGTCTCGGTTCACTCCCAAAACTTCTACATGCCAAAACGTCTACATGCCAAAACATCTACAGAGAGTTGTCATGGCTGATTGAGTTTACCTATTGTTATAATGGTTTAGTCCTCCTGTAATTAAGAAGACTCATTAGCTTCTTTTCGATGTTGTTTTAGAAAGGCAAGGAAGGGTACTTTGGGAAGATTAAATAGTTACAGATGTACCTAATGAAAACAACTTATTTGTAGATAAAGAAGATTATAATAAAAAAGACCCGTCACTTTATTGAAATTAACTGGTTTTGGAAATCACAATGATACACTGTTTAAGATCAAAAGGTTTCATGTGTATGCAGGAAAAGCAACTTACAAGTTGTCGGGCTGAGAGTAGTTTGAACCTTAAATTGGGTTTACACACTTTATTGTGGATTAACACTATAGTATATAACTAGAGTCCATCATGATGACATTTGACAAACCAAATTCTCTCTAAATCCCCCTTCACTCACTAACGAACCCCCTTTAGAAACCACCCAGCAAATAAAATTCAATTTTCAAAAAGCCAATTGGCAACTCTTTACAAAACTATGCAACCAGACCGACCCCCCAAAAATACAAAACAGCAACATAGACACATTCAAAACCAACCTTACCAACACACTATTCGATATCGCAAGCCAATGCATACCCACAACCAAACCCGCCCCTTCCCACAACCCAGTCCCCTGGTGGAACGACGACATCCAAAACTCTAGAAAATTAAGAAAAAGAGCTCTAAATAGAAGTAAACGGGATAAAACAAAAAAACCTGATTTCATTCATCTCAGAAACCATACTAAACAGCTTATTAAAACGGCCAGGAAAAAACACTGGCAGCTCTTCTGCAATACCCTAAAAATTGGCGAAAATAATTCAAGAAAAATCTGGAACAAACTTAAATGACTAAAAGGGACATTTCGAAAATCTTCAAAAACTGCCCATCCAATAAAGATAAAGCCAATCATATAGCTATCCACTTTGCCAAGACCAGCAGCACCGCCAACTACTCCCCCCCCCCCCCCCCCATTCCAAGAGACAATCAAAAAGCACACACACACGTAAAGCGCCCCGACTTAGCCCATCTTCCCTTCAATAAAACCATTAATATACATGAACTTCTACATGCACTTCATAACAAAATACAGCCGCAGCCACAGGACTCGATAACATACGTTACATAATACTAAATACAATCACACCTCAAATACAACAATTATTACTACAACTCTACAACCAAATATGGTTTCGACATGGTTTGGCATAACGGCCTCCTTAAAAAACTTGAAAATAATCATATCAATGGGAGAATACTTAACTTCATTCACTCTTTCCTAACAGACAGACAGACACATCACCGTTAAATCCCATCAAACCCTATCCGACACACACCCCATTGAAAACGGTACTCCACAAGGAAGCATCTTATCGCCAACACTATTCAATTTTATGATAAATGACATCTTCTCAGATTCCAAAAATAAAGAAAGAAATACCACAGCAAACTCGCAGATGACGTTTCCCTTTGGACCTCCTCGATCGGCGTCCATCAATTTATTAAAAACCAGAATGCAATCTGCTTTAAACAATATAAAAAAATGGGCTTCCAACTGGGGATTCCAAATCAACACCAAAAAGACCATTGGCATGCTCATAAAAAAACAATATATGCAAAATTACACACCCAAACTTCACCTTAATGACAAAGAAATTACATACCAAAAAGAAGCTAAGTTCCTAGGGGTTACATTTGACCGACACCTTTTTTTTTACGATGCATCAGGCCTGCACTAGCGCTTGATAACAGCCTTGGTTTTTTTGTGTTTCAGTAGTTTAAATTGCTGCTCTTGATATTGTTGATTAAACTTTGATACTATGAACAATATAAGGTTATATAAGAGTATGACTTTAGAACGGTAACATGCGTTAATGTATATCTGAAAAGTAAATGAAAGAACACAATCGTCCGGAATACAATGTATAATTCTGGTGCACTTCCATGTGACTATATAGCATGCAATAAGCTTTCGGGTCCCGTTTGGATTGGTTTGGGTGGCAGCTTTGATATCCATAAAATAGGTTCATCTCGCAATCTCCCATATAACTGGTGCTCCTCTTCAATTTAAATGGAGTAACTTGTTTCTTTCAAAACTATACAGTTTTGGAGACTAAGCATTAGTCTGGAAAGACATCACCAGTATGGAATTTGAAACTAATCTGTTTACAGTAACAGGACACTGCTAAAGTGTCATGTACAAATGAGAAAGTTGAATCCCGTCAATCAGGCGGACGAACCTTAAAACTATTAATGAATATTAAAATAAGCAATATCGGGAAAACGTATATGCATATAATATCTGGCAATTTACACCAAGATCACCTTGTAAGTTTTAAAAGCCGGTTGATATTCGTTTGCGTATTTGACGATTATATAACTTTCGAGCCTTGCGCTTTCCTGATTATTTTGACTAAAATTATTACCGTTATCATTGTATAACTTAATGGGAAATGCGTGCCGATCAGGGATGTGCCATAAATTAAAGCGACTTTGTACGATTCCGAACTTATCACGAGACTGTGTTTATGAATCATTGTCAAATAGTGGTGACATAGTGGAAATAATACGCGAAATCGCGCATGCACAGAACGGAACATTTGGACAAAGCATTAAGCAATCCGCATGCGCAGAACGATTGATTTCAGTACTTCCGCTAAGCGCTTCGAGTACATCGTCAAACTCGGATCTGTAATCTAACACGCGAGAACTGACCAATGAAATCTGAGAAGTAGGAAAACCGTTAGACGCTGTTGCTTGATTGACAATGTCAATCAAGAAAGGGAGGTGCTTGGTGATATCGTTCTCTCCCAGTAAATTCCGATGTCAAATAACGACGTTATTTGACGGAAAAACGATGGTTTGAAAGCGTCCAAATAACGTCGTTTTTCCGTCAAATGACCATATACGAAAAAACGACGTTTTCGTGTTTGCAGTGATATCCCAACCGAAGTGGAATAACATGAACCTTGTTGCAAATAAAACCATCCCATATCATTAACAGAGAACTTGGATATCCCAACCGAAGTGGAATAACATGAACCTTGTTGCAAGTAAAACCATCCCATATCATTAACAGGGAACTTGGATATCCCAACCGAAGTGGAATAACATGGACCTTGTTGCCAATAAAACCATCCCATATCATTAACAGAGAACTTGGATATCCCGACCGAAGTGGAATAACATGAACCTTGTTGCAAGTAAAACCATCCCATATCATTAACAGGGAACTTGGATAGCCTGACCGAAGTCGAATAACATGGACCTTGTTGCAAATAAAACCATCCCATATCATTAACAGAGAACTTGGATATCCCGACCGAAGTGGAATAACATGAACCTTGTTGCAAGTAAAACCATCCCATATCATTAACAGGGAACTTGGATAGCCTGACCGAAGTGGTAAAGCATGAACCTTGTTGCAAGTAAAACAATTCCATATCATTAACAGAGAACTTGGATATCCCGACCGAAGTGGAATAACATGAACCTTGTTGCAAGTAAAACCATCCCATATCATTAACAGGGAACTTGGATATCCCTAAATATCCTGAAAAGATGGCAATATTGAATTATGCAAGATAAAGTGTTTAGTCTGTCAATGGTATTTATATATGCAACAATATGCGAAATATTTACTGGTCTTATTTCACGTTTAATTAACTTACTTTGATTCGTATTACCTATTTTAACACACAGTCAACCTCAGAATGTGTTGATGTATTTTCAGCGTTTGCAGATCAGGAGTCATAACAATTAGTAGCCATGTGGGATGATACACATGAAGTGCTGTTTGAAGGACATGCGGGTTTTGGGGAGGGTTATTATATTAATTAAGGGCAAAAACAACATTCAGCTAACTTTGACATTCGCAATGGTGTCGACTACAATCACTCTCGTCTTAGCGTCGGTCTACGAATCAAGTGCAACCATATAACATGGCTCCCCCTCATTAATGTAGCGAAAACATAAACGCTGGAGTTAAAAGCATCTTAAAAAATTACTTAATGACATACCAGTGTATCTCCCATTCACTACCACATAAACCCCAATGGAATTTGCACAATGCAATTACAAATAGAGCACGTACGAGCCACGTCAAGCTGAAGAACTGTTACCTCTTTTAGATCTTCATACACCAGGGTCAAGATCGGCAAGTCGGGATGGGTTGTCCCAATGGCAGCCCAGTCCTTCAGGTATGTGAAAAACGACCCGAAGTCAACTGAATTGTGGACAGTGAAATATTAGAGGTTTGTAAAACTCATCTTATCTGTTGTATTCTATCTCGATTCCATTTCGAGAAATACCGTGGATCCCTTCTTGAGGTTCGCTCAGTTGGTATGTTTACGCCGTTACGACTCCTCCGCAAGCATATATACTAAACTTTATAACAGCAGCATTCTGGCTTCTTGCTGAGCGTGAATTTTTTATCTTACAACTATCATCAAACGTAATATTTACCAACCAGAACAAAACATTTAAACTCGATATCATTGCTCGATGTCAATCAAATGAAAAATCGTCTTGAAAAAACAACAAGATCTTTGCATAATAAACTAAAAACCGCAAACAACATTATAATAATAACCTTCCTCATAACATACTTACTTTGTAAATATATAGTTACCTGGTAAAATAAACCTTATATGTGGCCATTCCAAGATTGTAATGTGACACAGCAGTAATGGACTTGTTAAAAGAAAAATGTTCTTGGTGTCGTTATAGCCATTAAAACAAAGCCATTTTGACAAATCATATTCAACAGGAATTACCCACTACATATTCGTGGATGTCCACGACTCCACTCACTGTGTGTCCTGAATTACATCTCTGGCGAAATCGATTTGCGAAACTAGCATTATGTTCATCAAAGGACACATATCTCACTCCCTCAAGGATTTCGGACAGAAAAAGTCTCAAGACCCCAATGCTTGACGTGGGGGCCGATGAAAAACGATGCTGATGTTACATTGCATATGCATGGCTTAGTTGTCGATGGTTATTGTGACCGGGGTCTAGATTTCTGAAACAATCCTTGTTCAGATTAGTCTTAACAACTTACGTTCAAATATACTCGTATGATAAAGATGCATTTTTCGAAACTCTCTCCAAATTGTTATATATTGTATAAAGCTACGATACCTGTCGCATCTCTGACAGAACTCATTTGTGAGTGTTTCCTTATGACTTCACGGGGGAGTCTTACGATATCTTATTGCTACAATAGTTACAAATATAGACCATTTCCTAACGAAGCTTTACGGTCATCTAAGAACGTTTTCTGGACCCAGACAGCGTGCGTCGCTGTTCGTACTGTTTGTCAACAGTTTGTCTATCTGTACAATTAGGTGCCAGTGGCATAAAACAGCATTCACTCACTCATTCTAAATATCTCTTACCTTTCCCATCCAGCAGTAAAGGGAGGTAATTTTCCCATTTCCCATGATATTCATAAACATCAGTAATTTTCTTGTGGTGGTGGTAGAACGACACTGCCATGTCCTTGGGGTTTCGAAGAATGTAGATGATTTTGCACTTTTTCTCAAACACACCACGCGGCAGCTCCTCGACAAGGCAATGTGTGTTTAAAACTCGAGGGGACGGGAACTTCTCTAAGACGTCATTTCCGAAGAACTCCAACATAAATCTCTCCTTATTTATAACAGTCTCCGTGTCGCTTGACAGAAGAAGTCGGACCATTTCCCACACCCAGTGAGTGCCTGAAACAACACAAGAGTTTGTATTTCGAAGCGAGGTAGAGTAGCCTGGTGGCTAAAGTGAATCTCATACAGAGACCCGGGGTCGACTCCACACGTGGGTACAATGAGTGAAGCCCTTTCCTGATGTCCGCTGTCATGATATTACTCGGACATTGATAAACAGCAGCGTAAAACCAATACGTGTTTCATCACATATATATGATTGCACACAACGCGTTGGGAGGAACAATGATAAACAAAAGGTAGTCTGGTATAGGGGGGCGGTCGGGTAGCCTAGTGGTTAAAGCGTTCGCTCGTCACGCCGAAGACCCGGGGTCGATTCCCGACATGGGTACTATGTGTGAAGCTCATTTCTGGTGTCCCCCGCCGTGATATTGCTGGAATATTGCTAAAAGCGGCGTTAAACCATACTCACTCACTCACTCACTGAACCGTATATGTGTCAGGATCCGCAGATCGTTGGTTCTAATTCAACCTTCTGCTGTCAGCACCACTACCCAATGCTCGTAGGTTTCGCCAAAGTGGTAAAATGCCACATATCACATCAAGCCGCTGTATTTCAACTCAAATACTGAAACAGAAGTCACCCATACCACGTGATATGGCTGAAATATTGCTAAAGTCACAAACTCACTCCTATTGTTGATGGTTTAATTTCTGCCCAGCACATGTGTCATCACGCAAATCATTGCAAATAACGTGAAAACAGAGGAACAAAGGTTGGCTTAGCATTCGGTGTCGGGGAGTGAGTGAGTTGGTTTTAACGCCTCATTTAACAGTATTTCAGTTATATCACGGCGAGTCAGCTTAATGTGGGAGGAAAGCACGAGGTGATGCAGGTCTTAGACGTTTACCACTTCGGTGAAACCCACGACCACGGGTATGGTGCTGACAAACCTAGAAACATTATCGGGGCGAACCGGGATTCGAACCATCAATCATAGGTTTCTGGCGAGCCCAAGGGACGCAACTCTGCACAGCGAATCGCGGCGCCTTAGGCGACTGGGCCACCCGGGCCTACCGGGCCACCCGTGACCCCCAGTGTCGGGGAGGAATGAGTAAGTGAGTATTATCTTACGCTGCTTTTGGCAATCTAACAGCAATATCACGGCGGGGGACACCAGAAATGGACTTTACACATTGTATCCATGTGGGAATCGAATCCGACCATATAGGCGTGACGGGCGAACGCGTTAACCACGAGGCTACCCCATCGCCCCGTGTCGGGGAGGAACAATGATACATGGAAGAATTATCGTACAATTGTTAAGTTCATTGTCCAGATGCTGAATAATATTTGTTTCGGTTTTAATTGTTTGTCATAGCTGTAAGAACGATATAGACACACATGCTAAAAAATCCTTCATGTTCCCACAGAAACGAGATGTTCACTGGACTTGCTAGATGCCCTTAAACTTAAATCCACTCACACGAATCTGTGACTGCTCCAATCAGATACGATAATTGATTGTCTTGAAGGATTGAAACAATCTTCTGCCTCAAAAAGAATTCTTAGCAAGGGATAAAAAGAAGAAGCTATTTCTCGAGTGCTTACCACATTTAGGATACGCGGAGACAAAGACGTCATCCTCTCTGATGGGGAGGTCGCGCATGCCTTTGACAGCAACGTCAACGGGGTAACCAAAGTCGGCATTTGGGTACAAATGACCATCCACTTCCAGGAAAGTGATGTTATCTCCGCCAGCATCCGGGATCTTTACGACTGACATCCTCATCAGTCACAAGAGAGGGGATTATTAATCCACGGTAGTGTAGTTTATGTGAAGTCTTACGATGAAACACTACTGTAAGTAAAGTCACCCGACTATGGAATACTGTAAGGGACATTTTCGCGATCTCGCATTCTCGCGATCTCGACCTTAGGAAACGAGGTAAATATGCCCAAAACACGAGAATGCGAGATCGCGAGAACGCGAGATTTTGGCCAAATCTCGCGTTCTCGCGATCTCGCATTCTCGTGTTTTGGGCATATTTACCTCGTTTCCTAAGGTCGAGATCGCGAGAATGCGAGATCGCGAGAATGTCCCTTACAGTATTCCATACCCGACCCACAGAGTTGACTCCTCACGACCAACACTTCTTATATTTCGAATCCCACGTGTCTTAGAGTTTAACATTTCGTGACCCCTATTACACAACCCCTTGATAAACAAGTGTTTCCCAGTACAGTTGATCAATGTTGTTGTTGAACTAAACAGAATCTGAGAATAAATTTGACTTATCCGATTGTTCGATGCATCTGATTGTTTTACACTGCAAACACGACAACGTCGTTTTTTACCCTATATGATCATTGGACGGAAAAACGACTAAAAATTAATTAAAATTGATTAATTGGTTAGCGTCTAGAAAGTGTCCGGAAAAGCGTCGAGTTTTTCAAGCGTAAAATGAACGGAAAAACAATGCTTTTTGCTCCGCCTTGTACAACTGTTAACGGCCAATCAGATGGTGCTGGTCCCCCGACGCACGTGATTCCTAAGGCTTCCTTTCGGAAGCATTAGGTTTCGTATTTCTGGCATGCCTTGATCTAGTATCTGTCGCGCGCAGTGCAGCGACATTTGCTGATAAGCCAGTTTTAGGATATGTAACATGTTAATGGAATTCAGACACGCGCCAAGAAGTGAAACCAAACCATGTTACCAAGTTTATTGAGATAACATATCTCTCCGCTATGCACAGTTACCTCTATCGGATAATGGGTTGTGTTTCATTTGGTTATAACAGTAACTAATTTTGTAATGTGAAGTTTACACGATATACGGCTTTTCCATAGGATGAGAGGTGGGTCACATGACGTTTTTCACGTGACTGTTTTCTTGAAATGACGTAAACACTGACTACTTCCACATTCCTGGGGAAAACCCTGGGAATTCCCTACAACGAATTCATACAGAAGCGTTGTTTCTCATCATTTAGACCCTTTAATTTTGAACGTAGCGTCTTAGCATACTCTGGGATAAGTCATAGAGTTTGGTTGCATGACCGTTCAAGGATACCCTCGCTACAACCCATCCTAGAGAAAAAACAACAAAAATCCAAACTATCGTAGTGACAATCTACAGCAATCTATGAATTTACCTTAGTATCTATTTGACACATCTTTACAATCACCTTTCAATGATCGGCCAATTGATCAGTGATGACAAAGGCTTGAAATCGCCACAGGTTAATTAACTACTTCGGAAATATCTCCCGTCACGTTTATCGTGTCGGCCATTTTAACGTCTTGTACTTGATGTAAATGTATTACGACGCTCTGTCATTGTGATTGACTTACTGAGGTAGTTCTTAACAGACCTTCTCATCTGATGAAGATATTGTTTGGAATATATTTCTTGTAAACAAACTAAAATAGATGTTCCTCGCTTTCGAGGGAACTATTTTATTCCGGAATGGCCTATTAAAGCTAATAGTAAGGCACCATGCGTGTATATGATCTGTTATTATATGTGTTTAACAAATACGGTTTGGGGCGTTAATAAAATACACTGACGCAAGTATATTCTAATCAAATTGGATAATTGAATATGCATTATTTTACATATTACATAACATCACTACACAACATTTGGACGGTTGCAGTAACACACTACGGTGATCGCATTAAACACCACTTTGAACAGAATTTCAGGTTCAGGCCCTCCAACGGGTGTTCGCGAAAAGGTGAGCGTATTCTGCCACACAGGTGGCACCCATCACAAACACATGCAAGGACAAGTCAATTGTTCAAAGCACGGAAACACACAATGATGCCCGTCCTCACTATTACCGAGCATGTAAATTATACTGTCCGTCAGAAACATGGACGAGTATAAACAATAGGTTCTTACAGGTAATACATGTCATACCTTTGACAAATCACAGCATTATTGTTAATAACAGCGTATAGACTCGGCATGCAGATGAATTCATCAGCGCATTTTTACACTTTATCTTTTAATTGGCATGTTAAACTTCTATTTCATAACTCAGTTTTATTTGCACGGATCACTATAGAACCTTACAAAAACAAGCAAAACGTGTCAAAATTAACCAAAGCGTGACAATTCGACAACGCGACATTTTGGTCATTTGTCGCATTGTCGCGTTGACGCATTGTCGCTCTTTGAATAATCTTTATCAATTTTTTACAAAAGGGCGACAATGCCGTAACGCGACATTTTTCAATGTCAAAATATGTCTCGTTGTCGCATTGTCGCCCCATCACAAATATGTATAAGAGGCGTTAAGTGAAGTTAATGTAACAGTTAGGGGGCGGTAACCAAGTTATATCTGTCGTAGAAGTTCAACCTGATACATGTACGTCTTGAATTGAAAACACAAGTCCGTCCGCGAGTCCATAACGTTTTATGGTGAGCTCTTCTCTATAAGTGCTTAGTGTTCAACTCCCAGTTCCAAACACGTTGTACCTCATCAACAATCAACATTCCTCTAGTGCAGTGTTCTTCCGGAAGATCTTACTCTTGACCGTATAAGACAACTGACGAGTGCACGCCTGACCTGTGACCTCGTTACACCCCCAATGAGGTGTTTGCCGAAGGGAGAGGGGCAGGAAATGTGTGCTCCAGCCCAACGCGGAGCTCGCGACACACTGTATACTGCATGTTGTATACAGTATATTGCAGTTGATATACTGTATACTGCATGTGATACTGCTTTGTGGAACAGCTACAACTTTC